GTTGTACAATATGGGAAAGGCTTCCCCAATGCGGAGGTGCCTAGGAGAGAATGAAACAGCCTTGATACTGATGGAAAGGCATGAAGGAGTTTGTGGGAGTCAAATTAGAGGGAGAGATTTGGCTCACAAGTTGCTCACAGTCGACTATTATTGTGCAACCATGATAAAAGATATGGTTGACTATGTTAACAAGTATGACAAATTCCAGAGACGCTCTAACCTTCATGCCCTAACCTAATTTCTTCACTCAGTAACCTCTCCCTAGCCATTTTATCTTTTAGGTGTGTACATCTTAGCTTTTTTCCACTAACATCTAGGCAACTAAAATTCTTGCTCGTAGGTGTAGATTATTTCACCAAATAGATTAAGGAATAAGCGATATCCAACAACATTTTGGACATGATAAATCACTTCTACTAAAAGCAGATAATCTATAAATTCAAGATTCCCAAGTGCATTGTCTCAGAAAATGGAGCCTAGATATACAACTTTATTGTGGTAGAGCTTTTCCAATAACTTGGGATTCAAACGAAATCCTTCTTTGTCGTACACTCCCAAGATAACAAATAGATTGACTAGGCTAATAATACTATCTTTATGGTATCAAAAGGAATCTTGATAAGTTGAAATGCCTATGGTTCAAATAATTACACAAGGTTGTATGGCCGTATTACATACCACACCACGCATTCACTAAGGAGACGTCCTTCAAGATTATTTATAGTACTGGCGTCATATTACTAGTAGAGATCGACACACCCACCTAGCGACAAGAAGATTTCACTAAGGAATGTATAATTCACCAAATGATGATATTACTTCTTTAAATGCGAACCAAATTTGTAACCACTGTCCAACCTTTTTATACTTTGTTATTTATAACTTATTAAAACCAACCAAATTTTTTTATGAAAGGATTATGAAATAGGATTAAGGTGTGCAAGCGACCTAAACGATGAAGCACGAGAAATCTCCCACATTCAAGAGTATACATACAAATAGAGAGCCATAAGAAGGTAAAATTCTAGAGTATTCTCCAGAGACATGAAAAAGGGCGACCTTGTAGTCAGACAAGTTGTGGTGCATACCCAAACAAGAAAGTTGCTCCTTAATTGGGAATAAACCTTTCAAGTACATTAAAGGTTTTCATATGGCGAATACAAGTTGGAAAAGTTAGATGGTAGTCTCTTCACCAAGTCTTAGAACTGCTCATGAAACACTCTCTAGTTGGTTATAATTATGTATGGAGTTCGGAGAGAGAGTATTGAACCATGTGAAAAAATAATTGGCTAAAGAATTTAGTAAATATTTCGTCTTTAGATTTTCATTATTAGTCATATCACCGACTTCTGACTGATATTAAGCAATACGCTCGAGAGTAGACTCATAAGTGTCGCCTGCAAAATTAATGAACTTAGGAATTTTCCAACCCATGGGTAGTTAAGTTTGTAATACATATTATGATAATGTATAAACAAAATTTGGCCTATGAATACCAACGTTAAGACCATTTTAAGTTAGGATTTGTTCAACCATATTGGTTATGTCATTTTGTCCCCCAAAATTGTTTTGTCGGAATCTTCTAACTATGTGATCTGCATCTTCATTCCTTTTTACCAACACCACATCTTGGACTACCTTAAGTCTAGGTTGTTCGACTAGATGGGGTTATTAGGAACTGGTCGAGTAGATGCTTGAGAAGCCCCAACGAAGTCAACAATCTGACCTATTTGATGTGCTAATTATTGGTGACTATGATTGGTATTTTGGATCAAAGGATTGAACATTGTACGAGTTTATTGGATAAGCATCTTAACAATGTCATGGTTATTGTCATCCATCTGTTGCATCACAACGAAGAGAGAATTATTAGTTAAAGGTGGTATAACCTGAGGGATGTATTCCAATCCTCTATGAGACTGAATCATTCGACCAGGATTATTTATAGCATATCTTGATGCCATGTATAGATTGAAAAGAGAGGCAACAACCATTGCATTATCTTCATACATCGACACATTAGTATGTAGGCTTACCATCATTGCAGTTGGCATGCCATATGAATACTTCCTACTACTAAGGAAAGTGTTAAACTTGGAAGGAATGGAAGCCTAGTACATCCTACAGAGGTTTGTGTAACCACAAGATTAACAGAATATAACTAGTTTATTATGGTGGTGGTATCACTATTTCTTGCGTCGTAGTCAAAACTAATGTTTGACTCACAACAAGTGCAGTTACTCCAACCGTTGTTGAAGTGCTTACACCACCAATTGTCATTTCGATTTGTTGTTCCTTTGCATTTGGAGTGTTATTTTGGGGAAGAGGGACTCCTTGAGGGGATAAATTCTCTGATGGTCTAGACATACTAACGAATTTTCCACTACTCAGATGCATAAACACTCAACAATTAAAAATATTTAGATGTGTGAAGAACAATAACAGACATAAAAGCACACACGTTCTCTACAAAAAGTTTAATTTTTGCACAAAAGAATCTCACTGGGCATGTCAATTTATTTACTGATGTTTTTAGTAAACAATTACGAGTTTTAATTCACTTGAAGAATCAAACTCGAAAAATTCTAAAATACACTTTGTGTTAAACGTTTGAGAAAATGTATTAGTACTAAAAGGTTTTTAATGTAAATATTTAAGAAGAAAATGAAGAAGTGCTTAAATGGATAAAACAAATAAATAAATAATAATAAAGTATTTGGATAGAAAAGGCTTGAATGAAGAGTGAGACGCAAAGTCATATAGTTCTCACATATTCTTTATCTTTATAACTCGAATGTGTGAATTATAAAGAAAACAGAATGAAATTCGACCCTCATTACAAAATCGAAATCTACTTATATACGATGAGATAACTATCAATAACTATCAACAACGATTATATCTCAGAAATTCGATACGTATCTTGCTACATGGACTTTTATCTTCTGATGTGTTTCAACATGTCTTTAATTTTTGAATTGAATCGTTACTACTGTCGGCAACGTCTTCAAGTTACTTAATCATATATGTCAAAAAGTTCATTTTTCAAATGTGTGAAAAGTCCACTTAGTGTTGAAAATATAACTTAGTTATCTGCATTTAGCATTTATATACATCTCATATCCATATCTATGTTGAAATGTTGCGCAAAAATTTCAGACTAATAGAGAGATTATGAGATAAAAGGAATGTTTTAAGTCTGGTGACCTTGGGGTTAGGGATGGGAATTAGCCGGGCCGAGTTAGGCTTTGCCAAGTCTGAGTCTGACCTTCTAAAATTTTCAAAGCCTAAGTCTGACTTATGGCCTATCGTAAGCTTAGTTTTAGGCATGAGTCTGACCTTTTCGTGTTTGACCTATTAGCCTACATAAAAGCCTATTATATTTGAACATTTGTAAATAAGTAATTATATCAATGTTGAAATAGACTAACAAATTAAAAGATCAATGAGATTAAATGTTTATATTCATTGACTTGTTCAACTTTACATATTAACATAAGTTTTGTGATACTATTTGTTTGAGAGAACTTATGAAAATAACTTATAATATTGATGATAAGATTTTTTTTAAATTTTATTTTCATAAGTTCTTCAAGATAAGTAAGCATTACTTTTTAGTTTAATTCAAAATACAAATAAAATATAATAATAATAATAATAAAATTATTCATATTTATTTAAATAGGTCAGCCTGATAGACTTAAAAGGTTTTTTTTTTACGGCATCTGGCCTAGTCTTTTTAACTAAATAGGCTTATAAAAAAGCATAAGCATTTTCTATTTGTAAAAAATCCTGGTTTGACCTGAGCCTATGTAGGCTAGGTCGTAGGTCTCTGTTAGTTGGTTTGTATTCACACCCCTACTTGTGGTTACTTATGTGGATGAATTATGCATAATCATCTTATTTTAAGCATAATCATTGTAACAAATTATGACCTTTGGAATCAGAGGGATATGTCGTTGAAATTTGTGAGAATCAGAAGTCGGTCCCATAGACGACACCACTGTTTCTCGTTCTGGAACCAAAAATAATTATTAAAGTGAAATAAGACCCAGATGTGGTGGAGCAAGCTTCCGGTATAGTGGGTCGAGGCGAATCTGCAAAGTTAACACTCAAATTGGATATAGGAAAGACAATTTGAATCGCTCCAGGTCACATGTTGTGAAATGCAGACGATCCTTCGATTAAGTCTAACGATGAAAAATCACTCGAGGGTGACAAACGAGTGCTAACCCACTGAATGCATGATCACTCGACTTTCAACAATCTAACATTTTAAAATGGACCTTCTTGGAATTGGACTTCTTCATCTTTGAACTTCGACCCGAAACACAAACCATGCCCATGTAATTATGTTAAATGTGCACATGACTTAGCTGAATGCAAACATGAATAAATGTAAAATTTTAAACAAAACTATTTCTCATGTATCAAAATCATTCATTTTTTTATTAAAACTTCGACAAATTATTATGTGGAAATATGAAAATTGGGGCTAATAATGATTGTCACTAGAAATTGTTTAACTAAAGGTTTGGTAAACTTAATGGCTCTCATTTTTCTATTATTTTACCGTAGTAAATTTATTAAGATAAGAAAGAATGAAACATAAACTATGCTGATGAAGTTTGTTTAGAAATGCAAAAAATGTGAGTTTTTCTTTATCTTTATAAAAATGAAAATGAAAATAAAAGTACACATTTGTCCAGTGACAACATAGTAGGTTATGAACGAGGTTGTTTCCCTTTCTCTTTGATTGATACCTTACCAAAAACACTTCTTCAATTTTGAAAAGTTAACTTAAGGTTAAACCCAAAGCTAAACTATTTTTCAAGATAATTTTAACTTTGTTTTTCTTGTAATTTTGTGTCAAACAAGCACCTACATTCTAACTGGAATGGTTTAGCAGTGACATCAACTTTAGCAGGAAATCAACTCTTGCTCCAAAAAGTGATAAAATACAAAACAAATATAGAAATAATATACAAAGAGAAAACAATATGAGAAGAAGAGGGTCTCTGGTTTATTCTCCTCTAGGAGTTTTTATTCTAATGTGCAGGTTCATCAGCATAGTTCTTGCCCAGCAATACACTGAGAAAACCATCTCAAATGTCAATGGCAATGTGAGAAATGGCTCACTTGTATCAGCATTGTTTGTATTAGGGGATTCCTCTGTTGATTGTGGGGACAATACTCTATTCTACCCTCTGCTTCACGGCCGCCTATCTCTTCATCCGTGTAATGGCTCGGATGCCACTCTTCTTCCTCAACTTATTGGTAATCTTCTTCCTCTTTTCTCTTTTTATCTATACTTTGTGAATTTGGGGAAATAAACAAACAAAATTTCATGCAAAGAATATTTACTAAGTATCAAAATTCCAAATCGAGATCCTGATATTGCCGAATTAAGTATGATTGACGCGGCAGTAATTTGATCACGAATCATGATGAATAAGCTTGATCTTGCTTATTTATGTACATATTACCTGCATAATCTGAAACAAAAAACATTCAGTGTATTAATTTTTTATTATGAGTATAAAAAAAGTTAAACCAGGCTTACACAGATAATGACATTAGTTGTTGTGATGAAATCGTCGTTGTAGCTGAAAAGATTGGATTGACATCAATCCGACCATTTTATGCTCAAAATGGATCTCTGACTGAGGTTCTCGGTGGTCTCAACTTTGGATCAACACAAGCTACAATCATGAACCAGGGAAGCTTCAGCCACCAGTCTCTCAATCAACAACTACGTCAAGTCTCTGAGAGCATGCAGCTGCTGCAACTGCAGCTGAGCGAAAACTCTGCTACTGAATTTACAAAATCATCCATCTTTTTCCTCTCCTTTGGCAAAGAAGATTACATTGATCTGTTCCTACACAACTCTTCCAGCCCAATGTTAAACCATGACGCGCAATATTTTGCTACCATTTTGGTCAATCAGATGACAAATGCAATGAGGTATCTGTATGATGCAAATGCAAGGAAAATCATATGCTTAGGAGTTTTGCCTTTGGGATGTGCACCACGTATAGCATGGGAGTCGAACCAGACATCGAATGGCGATGATATTAATGGAAATGGTTGTGTAGATAATGTCAATGATTGGATCTTGGAATACAACAGAATGCTAGATGAACACATAGTCCAGCTTAATGCAGAGTTTTCTGATGCTCATATAGTTTTCTGTGATGTATACAGTGGAATATTAGAGATTATAAACAACCCAAGATTTTATGGTATGATTTATAAAACCAATATGCAGTTATATATTGTATGAAATTAATAATAATTCATGTGAGAAATTTTATGAAGTGTTTCTTGAATACACAGGTTTTGAAGACACAAATAGTGCATGTTGTGGACTTGGTTTGAATGGTGCAATGATAGGGTGTATCTCTACAGAAATGGCCTGTAATCAAGCTTCATCACACGTTTGGTGGGACTTGTTCAATCCTACACAAGCTGTGAACTCTATCCTAGCTGAAGCAGCTTGGTCTAACCAACCTATACCAGATCTTTGTCGACCTTTAACCATCCACGATTTGGTCAACACCAAAACCTAGCATTAAGCTGCTACTCCTGTGGCATAAGATTCATTCATAAACAGTAAGTTCGGAAAAATCACAGTGGTTCATTGTCATAATGTGAATCTCACCATCAATCCAAACATGCACCAAGTTTCAGAACAATTTGGTGTTGCAAAATAAAGCAATAAAGAGATAAAAATGACTCTGCTAAGTTTGCAGTAGAAACCATTATTAATATATTGTAGTATATTACAGCACAGTATGTCAAGATCTGAGTTTATTGTTATAAAAATGGGTTTTGGTGCTGACATGATTTGTTTTTGTCTTCTCAAATTGATTTAAACAATGCATAAAGATTTTGAAAAAGATACTAACTTTAGTAAAGGAAATGTAGAAATATTGCTTTTTAAAAACCCTAAATCACAATTATTGATCCCAAAACCCTAAATCCCCAAAACTAGATCTAAAATATTCTCCATGGCAGCGAAAATTCAAACCTTTTTACCTTCATTCTCTGTTCCAACCTCAAAACCTAAACGACGCTTCCGCTTGCTTACCATTTCAGCCTCGAAATCGAATCGTCCATCAATCGCAGGGCGTAAGCTCCGAGCGGCAGTAATAGGTGGAGGACCTGCCGGATCCTCCGCCGCAGAAGCACTAGCGACTGGTGGAGTGGAAACCTTCCTATTCGAGCGTAATCCACCATCAACACCGAAGCCATGCGGCGGAGCAATCCCTCTCTGCATGCTAGAAGAATTTGAGATACCTCACCACCTCATCGACCGCCGCGTCACACAAATGCGGATCTTCTCACCTTCAAACATCGCAGTCGACTTCGGTAAAACCCTTAAACCAAACGAATTCATCGCTATGCTCCGCCGCGAGGTTCTTGACTCTTTCCTCCGATCCCGCGCTGAATCCGCCGGAGCCACACTCATCTCCGGCCTAGTCACCTCTCTTAACCTCCCAACCTCACCAACCGCACCCTACACTATCAACTACACCACAAAAAACTCCCCTCAAAACTCCCTCGCCGTGGATGTAGTAATCGGAGCAGACGGCGCCAATAGCCGCGTCGCGAAATCAATCGATGCCGGCGACTACACCTGCGCGATCGCGTTTCAAGAACGAATCAAATTATCGGACGAGAAAATGGCGTATTACGAAAATCTCGCCGAGATGTACATAGGAAACGACGTATCGCCAGATTTTTACGCGTGGGTTTTTCCCAAATGCGACCACGTGGCAGTGGGCACTGGTACTGTACGTTCGAAACACGATATTAAGCTGTACCAGCGCGCAATCAGGGAAAGAGCATGGTCAAAGATCAACGGTGGTAAAGTGATTAAAATCGAAGCCCATCCAATTCCGGAGCATCCACGACCCGTTCGGGTCCGTGGACGCGTGGCGCTCGTGGGCGATGCAGCGGGTTACGTTACAAAATGTTCGGGTGAGGGTATTTATTTTGCGGCAAAATCGGGTCGAATGTGTGGAAACGGTGTCGTAAGGGCTTCTGAAGGTGGTGAGAAAATGATTAACGAGGGTGATTTAATGAGGGAGTATCTTAAGGATTGGGATGCGAAGTATGTGAACACTTTTAGGTTTTTGGATTTGTTGCAAAGGGTTTTTTACGGTAGTAACGCGTCTAGGGAAGCTTTGGTGGAGCTTTGTGGTGATGAGTATGTGCAACGCATGACGTTTGATAGTTATTTGTATAAGAAGTTGGCGCGTGGGAGAGTGTGCGATGATGTTAAGCTTTTTATGAATACTATTGGGAGTTTGGTGAGGTGTGGTGATTTAGGAACACATATGAAGGGTTTGATTTTGTAGAGGATTTTTGTTTCTAGGTTTGGGATTATTGAAAGTTATGGCTCTATCATCTTTGCCCTACATTGTTGGTTCTTCTATGTAATTTCAATTTGTTTCATTGTTTTGGTTATGGCCTTACTTCTACTTTGCAAGAAAAATAAAAAGCTATTCTCATTCCATGCATTAATAATTCATTTCTCATCATCTATGTTTATAATCATAAACATGATACATTTATAACTTTTTAGGTTATGTGTGTAAATTACGTGTAGATTAATCACGATTTAATTATAAAAGAATACTAATTTAAGATCATGGTAATCCGTCTTACATAACATATTTTTACATACAATTCTAAAACACCGATGTATGACTTAGATATTTAATAGTGTTAATATTACATTCAAATATTTTGTGTTGATACATTATATCAACTATGTTTCCATTAAACATAAAAATAAGAGGGCATATTATTAGTCTAATATATACTAGTACATATTTTTACAAGTTTTTAAAAAAGAATCTTAACATTGATGAATCTCCCCCATGATCCAATTCAACCAATTTTTTAATTAAAAAATTGGCATATTCAATAAGTTACAAATTGACATAATTCAAGGGCTAAATGCAACAATTACATTGACACAAACAAAATAAAACTCATTTGTCCATCCAAATCACACATCTAAGACACTCTCCCTTGACCAATAAATCAAAAGCTTTGTTGATGTCTTTAAACTCCACCTCATGTGTAACAAACTCATCCAACTTCAGTTCCTATTAATAATTGGAGAGAAAAATTAAAAAAAAAAAAATTGTTGTCATTGCTATTTTTACAATATGGTATCAAAACAGAGGAAGAGAGCATAAACTTAATTTTAAACAATTGTTTAGTACCTTGTCCATGTAGCGTTTAAGAAGAATAGGTACATCAGATTTGGGTTTGAGTCCTCCATATAAGGAACCCATGAGAGTCTTCCCTTGAACAAGGACCCCATTACAATTAAGGCTCAACATGGATTCTGGCTTGTCCACTCCTAACACAATTGTTTTTCCCCAACCCTATACACAAGTCACAAATTTACAATTCATGCTTTCAACAAGTTTATGCAACATTTAATCCTATTATTCAAAATTAATACACAGATGAATAATGTAAATTTTCAAATTAGTTAGTTCAAAACCAACATTACATTAGCCCGAATAGATTTGGACTCGAATCCGTAAAATAAGATATCAAATTCAAGTCTTGCAGATAAAAATGAAAAATTATATGCCTGAGATGGAAATAGACCTTTCTACATGAAGCATAAGCTTCATGCACCAATGATGCCATACCAACACATTCAAAGCAATAATCAGCTCCACCATCAGTCATTTCTATGATAATCTGACTCACAGATTTGTTTTCACATTCTCCAGAATTAATAAACTCTGTCACTCCAAACTTCTTTCCTGAACAAATCCATGAAATCAAACACATAATTTAGGCCTAATAATAATCATAACTTCTTAATGTGGTGATGTTATTGGACAAATGTTGCATTACCAATGTCAAATTTTTCTGGCTTGATATCCACACCTATTATCCTAGTTGCTCCACAAAGTCTAGCTCCCTCAGCAACCTAGGAGACCATTCAATTGAAATGAGCATTCTAGTATGCAAATAAGTGCTTATATAAATAAGTTCAAATAAGCCATTTTAAATAAATCAGAAAGTATACAAATGGAAAAACATAAACTATGGAGAATCCATACTGCTAATCCAATGCATCCAAGTCCAAAAATAGCTACTGTAGAACCTGGCTCCACATTTGCTGTTTTCCAAGCAGCTCCTACCCCTAAACAATGAATGTTAGATCAAAATATTGAATCAGATGAATTAAAATTATACTCAATGTGTCCGTAAATCCTAGCTCAATTTGCAGAAGCCAATATTGTCAGATTGGACACATCACCAGGGTTCGAACCCTAGTACTCACAGTACTGTGTGTGAGTTTCTAGTGGTTATTACTATTTCGTCTGCATAAAAAAAATTATATGTGGTTCGGTTTAGTTTGGTTGATCTTATACCTGTTGATACACCGCAACTGAGGAGGCAAGCCCTATTAGGCGGAATTGCCGGATCAATCTTGAGTAGATTGGCAATGTCGACGACAGTGTACTCACTAAAACTAGAGACAAACATGAAATGGTGTATAATCTCTCCATTCAGATCAGTGAATCTTGTTGTGTTAGCATATCTAAGCATCCAAGGTGAAATCTTGAAAGGAAAGTTTGAACAAAGGTTACTCTTTGTTGATTTGCAATCTATACACTCTTCACAATCAGCAATGAAGATTGGAATAACAATGTCTCCTTTTGTAATCTCTGTTACTTCCTCTCCAACACTTTCCACAACCCTGCATCACATCAAAATCAATTGAAACTTGAACATCATCAATCTCTCCTCAAAATTTATATACTCTTACTCACTCACTCACCCAATTGCTTCATGGCCAAAAATCCTTGGAAAAATTGCAGGAGGTTCCTTCAAAAGTCAAAACATACACACAAAAATGTATATTAAAACCGAATTTTCATTGAATAACTGATGTGTCTGGTTTTGGTCTATCTACTAACCTGCATTTTCCAATAAGTGATATCGCTGTGACAAAGAGAAGTACATATGATACGAATCCGAGCTTCACGTGGCATCGGTGGAGCCACGACGATCTCTTCGATGATCAATGGATCACCTGGTTTGCGACAAACCGCCGCTAAAAATTGCAACACATGAAAGTTGTTATTACCAACAAACAACACTGTTGTATTGAATGGTAAAGAAAATTATTGAAAAGAAGGTGGAAAGACACACACCTTTACATCTTATGGGTTGTGGTTGTTCAGTTGTTATTGTTGTTACTGGTTTATTAGCTTCCATGGTGATGAGTTGAGTTGAATCAAGTAAAGACAAAAAAGGATTTTTGGTTGGAGTAACGTATGAACTACTAGTATTATATGAGTGAAGGGATCAATGAAATGGATTGAATAAAAAAGGAATCTTTGGTTGGTGGATTGTGAAAGCTACCCACCAAACTAGACGGAACATGACATGTCTGTCACATGTGCAATTGATATTATGGTCTTGTACTCAAATTCATTTTGAATACATGTTGTTTGACTTAAATTAGCTAGTTATAATTAAAAGATAAATGAGGATACTTTAATGGTGGTAAAACTGTTGAATGAAATAAAATAGAAAGAAGGAAGTTAGAAATTAAAAGATAAATAAAGATATTAAAGGTAAAATTGGTGAATGAAATAAAATAGAAAGAAAGAAGTTGGTTTGTGTTGTGTCTAATACGTTGAGAGAAATACAGTAATACTTTCTTTGTAAAAGTGAAAAGATAAAAATTAAAATAATTAAAATAATAAATAATTTATAAAATAATAATAATAATAATGAGGGTCAGAATTGTGGACCTCAAAACTATATGATGAATAGTCTACAAATTAAGAGTATAAACATACCGTTCATACATATATTCCAAAGTCATATTGTCAGAAAGAAATAAATGGATGTTTGAAATTTTACACAATTGTAACCATGTTTCTCTGCAAAATAACAACTTTTACATTTGAGTTGAATTAAAATATTATATATAATTCAATTTAGAGTATATTATAGTATCTAATGGGTTCTATTTTAGAGTATTTGGTTAATTGTATACATATTTAAAAAATATAGATGAGAATTTTAATTTTCACTCTGGTCTAACGTTGTGATTTCTTACTTAAGAGAACGTTGTGATTTCTTTTAAGTAACCCGTAATGTATTTAGCCCTTGAATGAAATATGTATACAATTTTATATGAATTTGATTACAAAGAATGGTATTCCAACGTGCATTTTCTCTTAAAAGCACTCTTTTCTCACACGCAGGTACTAAGAGTAAATTTTAGAGTTTTTGTATAATTGTTGAACACCCATATTCTAAATGCTAAGTGTTTATTTATACTAAATAAAAAATAATTGTCATCTAACGGTTATTTCGCCAGAAAGCGCCATATTCTAATCTACATGTGTTTCGTCACTTCCAGGCTCTCCACGTGTCTTTAGAAACGGATAAGGGCAAAAGGTAGTTGTTGCGGTGAAATTTGGATGTCAAGCTATTGATTAACTTGAATCTTAATTCATTTACAACTGGTCTTTGATTTATCCGAAGGAAAGGTTAAAGAAAGGAAAAACCTAAAAGGGAGAGATCTAAGGTTCGGGGGTTGGTTAAATTTAGGGAAGGTATTAGCACCCTAAACTTCCGTAGTACTCTACGGGAACCTTTTGTTTATTTTTTTTTATTTATTTCATTAATTATTTTGCTTTAGGGTATATACAAAGGATTGAAAATTAAAAAAGATCTAGGGGTTAATTCTAAGTTTACTCGGCAAGACATCGCATCTTGTGCCTACATATCCTTACGGGAGTGGAATCAGAGTAACTGTAGTTCCCCTAAAGGGTTTGAGGAATTATTGACTGTGAGTCAAAGTTCCAAAGGGAAATAAGCGTTCATATGGAAACGCTTACTTGGAGTGCGAAGACTCCTATCTACGTTAAAAGTTAAATTGAAAAGGATGAAGGTATGTCCACGACGGGATGCCTAAAAAAGTGAGTACATGGACTCAAATCCTAAGGCTAGGGTGAGGGTAAAGGCATTGACACGGGGGTCAAGCATGTGAACCTTTCCTTTGGAGGGAAATATCGGTAATGGAGAATAGCGAATGGAAAATCGATGATGTGATTGATAAGCACGAGGTAATGAAATGTAGGTAATGTGTACGAAGAAAAGTGATTAGAGATTAAATGGTGAAATTATTGATTTGAAAATTAGGAGTTTAATTATTTTTGTGATTTTTGAGACTATTAAAAAAGGTATTAAACTAAGCCCTAATCTATATATTTTTTTTTATTTTGTAATTTGTTGTGAGTTATGTAATTAAAGAAAAGTTGGAAAATTAGAGTGGAATTAAGTGAAAGGAGCTAGA